TATTACCTTTTAACAGAATACATTAGATCGTAAGGTATATTAATATCAAAGATATAGTTTTCACACTAAACTTCTGTGTGGTCAACAAATTACATCCTGATCACTTCTGCCAAATACCTGTATTTTTAAACAACCTTATGTTTCTTAGTTGTAACTGACCTATCTAACAACAATAGATTAAGACTGTACTTATCTTCATATTACCTTTTAACAGAATACATTAGATCGTAAGGTATATTAATATCAAAGATATAGTTTTCACACTAAACTTCTGTGTGGTCAACAAATTACATTCCTGATCACTTCTGCCAAATACCTGTATTTTTGAACAACCTTATGTTTCTTACTTGTAACTGACCTATCTAACAACAATAGATTAAGACTGTACTTATCTTCATATTACCTTTTAACATAATACATTAGATCGTAAGGTATATTAATATCATAATTATTTTTATTCAAAGTTACATAAGCATTAGTTTGTGGTATTAACTTAAGGCAAACACTATATTAATCTTTCACTTTCCTAAACGACACATTCTTATTTCACCGGAGACAGCAGATATAGTGTGGTTCTTCTCTACTTTAACTCATAAATTCTGACAATTGTCAGTACCTACTGTAAAAGACTTGTAATAGAGATTATACCATTTTATAAAGATCTTATTTAACATGGATCGGGAAAAAATAAAACAGGAATCAGTGCACTGCTCTCCAATTACTATATAAAAAGTAGAAAATTAAAAAAAATGATAAAATGCACTGTTTGTTATAGTAATAGTCATATGGATATAACAGTAATCCAATACATATAACTATTAGAAAAAATTTCAAAACAAAATGCATTCTAAGAGAAAAATATTAACATCTACAGCAACCTTTCCCCAAATCATTTGTAATATATGTAACATACTGCCCCCTAATGACATTTTTGCCTCAATGATGAGTATGTTATAGAGTAATAGTTAACTACACATTTTATTTTAAGTAGTCTTGCTGTGTTGTGTGTAGAAACGTTGGAATATGATAAATGTTTACAGTAAAGATTTCAATATAGTGTTTATTATATTTACAGTTAAATACATAATCAGTACATGTGAAGAAACACCATGAAGTTAAACTACAGCTAACTAAGCTGTGTGTTAAGTTTGGAATTTTCCCATTGTTTGCATTACAGTGAGCAGTACAAGTAACTAGCTGTTCCCTTAATTAAGAACAGGCTAGAGTAAGATACCTAATTAAGTGGTGTGTCCCCTTTAGGACTTACAATGCTAAAATATGGGGTTTGATTACCCATGGTGATCACAACACGAATGGTCCATTATGTAGCTCTGATCTAAAACAACAACAATTAACTGGTGTCTGTTTATATTTTATTTTACACAGATAACATTATTGTCGTACAGAGGTCAGTTCCAGTAAATTTGAAGGAATGCAACAAGAATTATATGTCGTGAACTGGACACCAATTAAATGTGGGACATTTTTTTATAAAATAGATTTTTATAAATATTTAAGATAGACATGTTTCTTATAGAAAAAAAAAAGGTGGCTGCAGGTTGGATCACAAAGGATAAATCTGAAGAAAAGCATTGTAATTTTAAGAAGTTTAAATTGACTGCTATGACATGAGGATTACAGAAGATCAATAGAGTTGGTCAAACAAGAAATCAAAGAGGGTATACAATATTTTACATCTGATCTTTTCAAAATACTTCAACATTTAATTAGAAACTGGTGGAAAAGTCCTACAGCATCTCAGGAGCAAAGAGTATCAATAAATACTTTTTTTATCAAATGAATGTGACTAATGGGATACACCAAAGTTTCATTTGAGGGCCTTTAACAATAATTAATTATTTACAATGTGTGTATGTTAACAACTGGGATAATATCTTGGGGAGTAAAATTGCCAAGTTTACCGAAGATACTCAGTTACTAGAAAGAGCTGACTCTACATAGAGGTTGTTTCTATTATTCAAAAGGAGTTTTACCGTCTTAGTGAATGGGTCAGGACATGGTAAACACATTTTAATGTTGAGAAATGTATAGTTACATACTTAGCATATGGTAATTTGTAAAGAACTTAATCCTTTGAAAGAGGACATTGGTGTGTGTAAATAAAAAAGACACGGACTTGCATATAAAAGTCTCCTGCACAGTTTTTAGCAGTGTTGATAAAAGCAGTTAAAGTTCTTGTTTTTTTAAATAAATATCTTGATTTAACAGATTGTAATGTTATTACAACCTTGTGTAAAACTTTAATGAAGGTTCATTTGTAGTAGTGTGTGTGCAGTTTGGCACCTTATTATAGGAAGGATAAGAAAAATGATGGAAAAGATGCATACTAACTGACACCTAGCTTAAGTTATGATAATTGGAGAACAGAATAGACTTTATATGGGTGTTCAAACCTGTTAGGGGTTTGGAGTGATGTATTTAAGTGGTAGAATGGGTCAGTTTGGAAATACAACTTTTATAGTAATGGTAACAAATTAAAATTTAACTTTGTGAAGACCACATGCACATTTGATCTTTGAAACATTTTGTTTTTCCACTTCAGTTATAAGCTAATAGGTTGCTATGTTTAATGACACAGTGAGTGCACTTAACTTTTGATGGGCTATATTTCATTTAGTTTTGATATTTTGGCAATGGATAGAATGTTTCTTTGTCACCTTGTGTTTTATACTAATCTTTTTTTGATACCACTCTTACACTGTTGTACTTTGATGATCTTGGGATAAAAATAAAATTTTATAAAAAATTATGTGCATAAATATCAAATTATCACCAGGGGTCTCCACTGACAAAAGTTTATTACGTGGTTATATCTTGGAATATAAATTTGGTCCACGAAATCTTAGCAACCACAAAGTGGAGTTAATAAAAGATTTAACAGCTGATTCTAGGAATTCAGAAATGTCGATGTATCTATATTTTGGAATTAGTATTTGTAAAAACAGTTAACCACTATAGAGTGGCTTAGCTACAGAAAAGTTTGAGTTATGCATGACGGAAGGAGGGATGATATTGGGGGGGGCTTTCTTTAGTATTTGTAAAACAGTTAACCACTATAGAGTGGCTTAGCTACAGAAAAGTTTTAGTTATGCATGACGGAAGGAGGGATGATATTGGGGGGGGCTTTCTTTAGTATTTGTAAAACAGTTAACCACTATAGAGTGGCTTAGCTACAGAAAAGTTTTAGTTATGCATGACGGAAGGAGGGATGATATTGGGGGGGAGGGGGCTTTCTTTA